ATATTTTGGTAATTATCACACATGTTTGTAAATTTATTAAAATAATTGAATTATATATTAAAAATGAATAAACATCAGGTTATGGAAATTATTATTCAACAAAGCTGCTGGAAATACCGTTTCAACAGCATAGAACAAAGTAAAATACTGTAGAATGAATCATACAAAAGATGTACTAGAGTTGTATACTAAAATCTGTGAATCATTTCAAAGAGATTTTAAAGGCAATCAGCAGAATTGATATTGTTCATAACAATTCTCTCCAATTACAGTATTCTGTAAAATGAGCAAGATCCTTTAAGAAATTACAAAATTTCAATAGAAAACCAAAACGTAAAGAAGAATTTTGGAGACAGTGGCTTACTCACTTCCCTTATTGCTGGGACAAGATACTGGATACTCACACTTAAGGGAGAAGTTTATTTGGACTCATACTTTTTAGAGAGTTGAGGCCATAGTCAGCTGATTCCAAGGCAGATATGGAATGGTGGAAGTCTGGCAACAGATGACTATTTACATCATAGTTGCCAGAAGGGAGAAAGAAGGGAGGGCATGACAAAAGAGGTATAGCATTCTGGGTCACACCCACAGTAATTTGCCCTTAAGTAGCCCCTACCTCCTAACAGCAAGTGAATTAGCAACCCCATGATCCAATCACCTTACAAAAGCTTCAATTCTAAGTGTATCATTTCTGATCTATAAAATAGTATTTTGTCATTACTCCCCAAAAGATTCATGTCTATCTCCTTATACAAAAGGCATTTAGTCCATCTCTAAAGAGTTGCCAAAGTCTTAAAAGTTCCATCATTGATGAAAAGTCCAATTCCAAAGTCTCCTCTGAAATTTAAGGAAGACTATTTAGGTGTGAGCCCTTGTATAAATGAAAAAGAAAGTTAAATAATTTCAACATACAATAGCACAGGGCAAACACTCCCATTCCAAAAGGGAGGAATGAAGGATAGGAATGAAGGATAGAAAGGATCAGGACCAAAATATACACATAAAGTAATCCTTGGCCAAAGCAGTTTTACTAGAAAATTTTTAAAAATTTATGAAATATGAAAGTACAATCTTATCAATCTATTTTAAAACTTAGAAAACCAAAGCAGTACATGAATTATTTTATGAGATTAATATGTAAACTTGTCATTAAATCTTGACAAGTGTATTTCAAGTAAAAGCAAAACAAAAACAGGTATTTCTCTCATGAACATTAATGTAAAAATGCTTCATAAAATATTGTATTTATTTATTTTGGCTTTTTGAGACAGTGTCTTGCTATGTAGTTCAGGCTGTCCTTGAACTCACTTTGTAGCCCAGGCTGGCCTGGAACTCAGGGCAAACCTCCTGCCTCAGCCTCTGGAGTGCTGGAATTACAGGCATGTGCCACCATGCCCAGCTATAAAATATTTTAAAATCCAAAGTAAAAATATGTTAAATGTATAACATCTTATGTTCTCATTAGGGTTGTTCCGGAAGTGTAGAATTTTTAAAAAATAGGACTTCAATTAATGAGTTTTATTAAAATAACAGAGTATGGAAAAAATTCATCACATTAAATTTCATAGTTTCAAACCCACTCAAGTAGCTTTTGATAATTTTTAACATTTATTCATCATAAAAACATTTAGCAAAAAATGAGTGCAAGATGATTTCTTTATCTCAACAATGAATAGTGAAATGAAACATTTCCCAAGGGAAGTATCATATGTAAATGGAATAAAACTGAAAGTATTCACTTTAATTTCAGGAAATATACAAAAGTGTCTCTTATTATCACTCCTATTTATCAAGGTGCCTTAAGTAGAGAAAATAAAAGGCAATAGAAATAAAAATTAAGCTCATAATTTAGTTAACCACAGATTATAATGTTGATTTAAACATAAAATAATAATATGTAGGCAATGATTAATACGAGATTTTAGTAAGATTTCTGGTTAAGAAAAATCAATATACAAAAGAATCTTTCTTTATGCAAAAACCAGAACCTCATCTTGGAATTTTAAAAATATAATGTCTAATAACATGAAAAATAATTTTTAAGAAATTAAAATAATGTATATCAGAAGACTTAAAGATATCTTTTCCTAATAGAAGCAGAAGAATAATAGCGGTGGAGGCAATTTTTATCTTTATTAGAGAGTCATTTTTTGGTCCAAATTATGGAGAGCTATGTGTTATGAAACATGCCTTTTGGATACAAAGAGAAATATCACTAACCTCATACTCGATGGATCTAAAGATCTATGACCTTAAAAAATAATAAAGGTTTTTTTTTTCCTGCCTCTGTAGAGTATTTAAGCTTTATTCCCCTAGGATTCCTAAGGAAGTTTATTATTATTTTATACTTTCATCTTTAAGGTTGTTTCTAAGTCTACTGCTTTGAGAATATAATTAGTGGTCTATCATAAGTTGCCACTATAGCAACATTTAATCAAAAACAGATAATAAAATGCTGCTTATCTCTAAAGGAGACTTTTATGTGATCCAAATTTAATTTCTTCTAGTCATGTTTTTGGATGTTATGTGCTCAATATGGTTTGAATTTAAAATCAGAGTTAAATATCAACTCTTTAAGTTCTATGGAATGCACTATTGAATTATAGGTAAAATAGCATTTATTGAGCTGTAAGTACCTTGTGATTACAGTATAACATTATAAAATATTCATTATCTTTCTGGAAATTAATCATGCTATTTAAATAATAAACAACGTACAGATTTTCAAATATTTTTCCTTTGTTTGCTTAATATTTTATTTTATTCATTATTATTTTGTCCTTTTTATATTCTAAAGATATATACATTAGGAGAGCAAGAAAGCACATTAACTAATATACATTAACTTTGTTGCCACAAATAAGAATGTACAGTGAATTATAATGTTTTGGATATGAGACTCAGTTAGAGGAATACATTAGTGTAACTCATTACTAATGTTTGAACTCAGCTGAAGAGAATGCCATAGAATAGGTGACCAACTACAAATAGCCTAATCATTTACTTACTCTCTTTTGTAAAGGCTTTTAAGTAAAACTATGTGAAAAAAAAATGTAATGAAAAGGTAATTCAGGGCTGGGGATTTAGCTCAGTGGTTCTGCCACCTGCCTCACAACAACAAGGTCCCGAGTTTGATTCCTGGTACCCACACAAAAAAAGGTAATTCAGAGGAAAATAATACTTTCTCATGAAAGCCAGTTGCTTTATACCTATGAAGTCAAAGATGAAATGATATTTGATAAAGGTCTAATTTATCCTATAATTTCAGGGCATGTTAAAATTTTTTTTAAAAAAAGAAAACACTAGATTTTCACTAAACAACTGTCCTATGTGTAAATATGTAAAAATTTTAAAAGTATAACCAGGACTGCAAATCATTTTATTCTACTTATTTTGTCTTTTTTGCTATGTGAAAAGTTTCTATATTGAGAGAAAGTTATTATGGATGCATTTGGATATCTTTTTAAAAATTGGTTGTCTCTTTATCTTCTATGATTTTTGAAACTTCATATTCTGAAGAAGAATTCTGTTGAAAAAGAATTTGTCTTCATATAACACTTTCTCAGGATAGCTATGATCATTTTCAGTGTAACTAGATTTGATTCCAGGAACCCAAAATTTGAGGAAGCTGTGACCTTTTCAAAATTCCACAGTGCAGATATTGGCTACCTTTAACACTAAAATTTGAGGAAGCTAATTATCTTATACACTGTTTTTGTTCTTACTTCTGTGGATAAAATAGAATTCTGTGAATACAAACAGGTGTGTTTATTTAAATATTTTACCCTTTTATGAAATCAAAGAAATCTTCAGATTTTCCCTTTCAGCTACTCAAAATCACCATTAATGCCTACTTAATAAGAGTTTAAAGATATAAAGAAACATGAAATATATTCTCACTTCGATTATTAAAGCAAAACAATATCCTAAATTTCCAGCTTTAAAAAAATCATTCTGTGTCTTGTGTACAATTATTCAATGAATGCCATCAACTACCTACAATATGTGGAAGTCATCACATTATCTAGCTCTTCAATTTACTAAAATAAACCTAAAGATTATTTTCCCAAAATCTTACAGAGGTTCTTCTTGATCCTTTATATTCACTTCACACATGTGTCCAGTTCAGTACTCATCCAGAACTTTGTGAACTTTTCAGAGCTTTCTATTTATCCAGCTTTTATAATTATTTCAGTGTTTTCTCCAAGAATTCCAGATACTTTGTGCTCTCTCAAACCCAAACTCTTGGTTCTCAAGTTATCAACAACATTGGGTTAAAACTAGACATTAATTCTCTGCTCTTTGGCCTAAAAATCCACTCTTAGTAGTAAGGTTGGGCAATCATAGGACTAACTTTGTTTCTGTTTTCATAGGTATTCATATCAACTGATGAGTGGCTGAAAATTTTTTTGTTTATGCATTTTCATTATTATATCTTCAGAGGGACAATTATATGTATTATCTTTGTTACTTTATCACACTGAGAGGTAATAAAGCTGTGACCACAGACCAATCTATGTTTGTTATTATATTGAGGTTATTATCATTCTATGTTCATGGAATATATGTTTTAATGGACATTTTTCATAATGCCTTTCTCAATGTATGGTGTCACAGTTATTTTTTTCCAATGTAAATCGAGAACCATTTCTTATCTATATACATTCATGTGTAAAACAGGTATTATTTCTTTGTTATATTGTTTACTAGAATTCTCCAATGAAACCAGAACAGACGAGACTGTTCTGTGGCACAAGTAGCTTCAGTTTCCTCTGAAAGTAGACCTCTGCTTGGTTTCTATGACCAATCAGAGGAGTGCGCAGGGATAGTGTGCTCTCCTCTGTTTCATATCTCACTAAATAGGGAGTATGGCTGGCTCAGGGACCCTGCCCCTCTGGCACTCACCGGAGACAATTGGCTCCATGGTTACATTGTGACATCCCAGGCAACCAGTCCTGAAATAGCCTCAGCAAGTACCTGGGCCTCCAGAAAGGAGACAGTATTCATGGGCTGAGGACACTGGGCCCTGGTGGATTGGGGGCAGGAAGCCTTCTAGCTTCACCAGATTGACAACTTAACAACTTCAGAATCCTGTGGCTTTAATACTTCCAGAGAGACCTGTTGACTCAAAAAGTGGCCCAGGTAATCTTTCTTTATTTTGGTGAAGTGAAGAAGATCAGGTGCAGGCATGTCTACTCCACATGAACTGGAAAATCCACCAGTGATTTTTGACAATGGTTCAGGACTATGTAAAGTGGGACTGTCTGGTTATATTGGACCCACCCATGTCATCAAATGTGTAGTAGATCACTCAAAATTCAGTATACCTTCAGCAAGAGCCAATCGGAAGAAATGCTTTGTAGGAGAAGAGGCCCAATACACATATGATGCCTTGTATTTGCACTACCCCGTCGCTCGTGGGATGGTAACAAGATGGGATGACATGGAAAAACTCTGGAAACATCTTTCCAAGTGGGAGCTGGGAGTTAAACCCAGTGAACAGCCAGTTCTGATCATTGAACCCTCCTTGAACCCAAGAGAGACTCAAGAGAAGACTGCTGAAATCATGTTTGAGAAATTCAATGTGCCTGCCTTCTACCTGTGTAACCATGCAGTAGCAACACTCTATACCTGTGCCTCTGTCACTGGCCTGGTGGTGGAGAGTGGAGATGGAGTCACTTGTACTGTACCCATCTTTGAGGGCTACTCCCTGCCTCATGCAGTCACCAAGCTCTATGTGGTTGGAAAGGGACATCACGGAGCACCTCATCAGGCTCCTCCTGGCCAGAGGATGTACCTATCCTTGCATCCGCAACAAGGCTGTTGTGGAGGAAATCAAAGAGAGGCTATGCTACTTTTCCTTGGAGCCAGAGAAAGAGCCATTAAAGAGGCAGCAGGAGGTACTGACAGAGTACGTACTGCCAGATGGGAATATAATCAATATCGGGGATCATCTGTGCCAGGTACCTGAGGTGCTTTTTTCTCCAGACCAGCTTGGCATCCAGGAGCCGGGACTCTCAAAAATGGTATGCAGCAGCATCATGAAGTGTGACACGGACATCCAGAAGAGCCTTTTTGCTGATGCTGTGCTTTGCGGGGGCTCCACACTCTTTCCTGGGCTGGAGGAAAGGCTCACAGCTTCTCCTAATAGATGTTTCTCTGCATGGATTGGTGCATCCATCATGGCCTCTATGAGCAGTTTCAAGCAACTGTGGGTCACCTCTGTGGATTTCAAAGAGTTTGGGAAATTTGTGGTACAGGGAAAATGCTTCTAGATAACTCCAAACATGGTGGTTGGAGGACATCTCCAAATGCCTATTACAGGGATTGCAGCAGGAGATAACATCGTCCCTTGTACTTCAGTCTTATGGTCAATAAAAGAGCTGTCCCAATTTAGGTTTCAATTTATTTTAGTTGGCCGCCACTGCAACATTGTTGTATGAGTACTTGTTCTATTTGCTACTCAGTTCTTGTGGGTATGTTCCTATGAACAGAATTTCTGGGTCATATACTAATTATTTTAAACTTTTTAAGACTGCCAAATTGCTTTTCTAGGAGCCTAATCATTTAATATTCTCATTACCAAAAATGAATCCATTTTATTCATATCCTTAGGAACAGTTATTATTGTGTTTTTTTGAATAATGGACATTTTAATGTGCATGAAATGGTATCACATTGAGATTGAGATTTTCACTTCTCTAATAATTAGTGATGTTCTACATCATTTTTTATGCTTGTTTGCTATTTCAGTTCTGCTTGGAGAGATGTCTGGTCACTGATTGGCTCATTATTTTATTGGGTCATTTGTTCTTTAGCTGTCAGTTTGTTTGGACTTTAGTCTGGAAATTAAACTGCTAGCACATGTGAGTTTTCTTTTCCTTTTGTTGATTACATTTTTAGTCTATTGTTTATACCAATAACACAATTTGAATGAGATTTATCTTTTCAAAATTTTTTGTGCATTTGGTATCATATTTAAACAACTATTAGCAAATTTTAAGTTATGAAGATTTGCTCATTTTCTTCCACAAGTGATGCATTGTTAACTCCTAAGTTTAGATGTTTGATCCATTTTAAGATTTTTTATATAAGATATAAGGTAAGTCTCCAACTTCCTTTTCTTCACATCTAAATAACCAGTTTTCCTGACAGTTTCTGTAGAAATTTCTTTGCCTAATTTAGGATCTTGATACCCCTGTTGAAAATGAATTGTACATATAGGTATTTGTTTGTAAACTCCATTCTATTTTGATCTATATGCATATTTTTATGATTTTGCTGCAATATTTTCATCAAAGTAGCTTTGCAAACTTTGCAGTGGGCAGTGTGAATTCTCCAAATTTGTTTTGTTTATATAAAATCGGTTGTATTATTTAATGCTCCTTGAAATTCTATATGGATTTCACCATAGGTTTATCCATTTCACTTATAAATATCAAAAATATTTTAATAAGCAATGTATTGAATTTTTATACCAATCATGTTGTGTAGTATTCTCGTTACAATAATCCCATGTATTCCATTTCACATACTTCAATTACATTTTTTATTTCTTTAAGTACATTTTTAGTTTATTTAGTATGATTTTACAGTTTTCTAGGTACAAATCTTGTTTCTCCTTGTTTAAATTTATTCTAAATTATTTTTTATTTTTGATGTTAGTCTAAATTTAATTCCTTTTTCAATTTCATTTTCAGGTTCATCTTTAATAATGCATAGAAATAAGCCAATATTTGCATGTTGAATTCATATACTACAATCTTGCTAAACTGAATAGGTTTAATGTGTGTATGTGTGTGTATGTGTGTGTGTTTGAGAGTTTTCCAAATATAAGATCACATGTCCTTATTTTTGGTTCTTTATTGTATACTTAAAATGTACCAATAAAAGAATTTAAGCAAAAAAAAAACCAAAAGATCACATGTCCCGTAAGCAGAGATAATTTTGCCTCTTCCTATACAGTTTGAAAGCTTTTTCAATGTTATTATGTCAAATTTTTCCGTGTAAAATTTCCAGTCCTACATTGGATAGGAATGGTAAAACAGACATCATTGCATTTTTTTCGGACATCAGGGGAAAATATTTTAGTTTCTAACTATGATGTGTCATGCTATCTGTAGGTTGATCATATGACATATGGAATTTATCATATTTAGGAATTTTCTTCCTATTTCTAGCTTATTAAGTGTTTATCTAATAAAAAGCTGTTGATATTTATTAAATGCTTTTTCTGCATCATTTCAGATGATATCATTGTGCATGTCATTTTATGTTGATTTTTCTTTCATTCTGTTGATGTCATGTTTACTGATCTGTATATGATAAACTGCCCTTGCATTATTTGGATAAATTCTACCTAGTCAAATTGAATAATTATTTTAATGTAGTGTTGAGTTAAGTTTGCTAGTATTTTGTTGAAGATTTGTATATAATAAATTCATGAGGAATATTGATTTATAGTTTTCTTTTCTTGCAATGTCTTTTTTCTGGACTTAGTGTTATGGTATATTTGGCCCTACAAATGAGTTAAATAGTGTCTCATCTTCTTCAGTATGCTTTGGAAAGTTTAAAAAAATGATTTTCTTAAGGTTTATTAAAATTCACCAGTGAAGCTATCTAGTCCTTTGTTTTGCTTTATTGAGAGGTTTTCGATCAGCAATTCAATTTCTTTAGTGATTATAAGTAAAGGTAGATTTTTTATTGAATTTTAAATCAGTTTTATTAGTTTTTTTGTTATAGGAAATAGTTGATTTTAGGTAAACCATCCAGTTTTTTGGCATACTGTTATTTATAGCTTTCCCCTAGATTCCTTCTTTTATACTATTTTTAATTTTCTCTTTTTTCTTCAGTCAAGATAAGTTTGTAAGTTTTGTAGATTATTTAATAAACCAAGTTTTAGCTACATTGATTTTTTTATCTGTTGTTTACTATTGTATATTTCACTGGTCTCTTCATCATTTGCTGCAGTAAGGTTATTTTCTTCAATTCCTTAATACTTAAATTGTTGGTCAGGTACATCATAATAATATGTTTACAGTTATAAATTTACCTCTGAACAGTACTATTTCTCCATCCTCAAGTTTTTATGTGTTGTGTTTTACTTTGTTCTTGTCTCAAGAGGTTTTCAAACTCTCCCATTTGATTCCTTATCTGGATCCTTATCCTGTGTATGTGTATGTTGTGTAACTTTCACAAATCTGTAAACTCTCTTTGTTGTTACATATCTGATCATGTTTTAAAGCTTCAGAGTGTCTGATTGTGAACATTCTTGTTTTATTATGTTGGTTAGAGCTTTTCAGTATTATGAAGAATAAGAGTAGTAAAAGCCAATATCCTTGCTTGCTGCCTGACCTTAGAGGTAAAGACTTCAGTCTTTCATTATTCAGTATGAACCTAGCTATGGGGTTTTTGTTTGTTTGTTTGTTTGGTACCAGGGATTGAACTCGGGATCTTGTGCTTGCAAGGCAGGCGCCAGAACCACTGAGCTAAATCCCTAGCCCATAGCTGTGTTTTTTATATATGACCTTTATTATTGAGAGTTACTTTCTGTCCATTTGTACTTGAAATGTTTGTAAAAATGAAACTATTGAATTTTGTCAATTTATTTTCTAAATTAGTTGTGGTGATCTCATGTGCTTTTTCTCTTCACTATTATAATGAGATGTAATTCAATAATTATATAATAAGCTATGTTTACAATAATTGCAATACATTGTGCTTAGTAATAGTAAAGTATATTATATGTTGCTGATTTTTTAGTGTTTTGCTGAAGATTTCCATATAAGTGATAGTAAGATATATTTGTCTCTGGCATTCTTTTAGATTCATTGTTTTGCAGTGATATAAGGGTAAATCTAGGTTCACTGAATGATTTACATAGGTGCCCCTCAACGTTAATATATTTGGAAGATTTTTGAGAAGGATTGGAATTAAAATTTCATTACATTTTTGGAAAAGAATTCATCAGTGAAATCTTCACATACTGTGTTTCTCTTTGTTGGGAGGCTTTATTTTTTATTTGTAATTCAATCAGCATATTCATTATATGTCCATTCAAATTTACTTTTTCCTTCAGAGTGACTTGTCTTTAGATACACTGATACTTTCTTATGCCTTCTTAAATCTTCTGTTGAGTGTAGTGAAATTTGTAATTTAGTTGCTGTTTTTTACCTCTAAAATTTATTTTTAGTTCTAATTTATATAATTATTTCTTCTTTAATATGTCATTCATACAGTCATTCCTTGGTTCTTTGTCCATATTTTCTTTAACTTTTTTAGTATGTCTAAGAAAATCATTTTAAAGTATTTTTCTAGTAAGTCTCATGCATTTCTTTCATCAAGAATGGTTTTCACAGATCCCTTTTATTCCTTTGAATGGGCTATGTATTCATGTTTGTTTCTATGTCTTGTCATATTATGTTGAAAACTGGACATTTATAAATGAGCTTCTTAGTCCTTACAGAAGGGCTCCATGGAGGGCAAACACACTCTAATGATCTTTGCTTGAAATCTTAGTGATTATTTATATATTTTCTGGACACATTCTTTTTTTCTTATTCATGCATGTTTGCTTATACATTGATGTTTTTCAGTATCTTTATTTCTGAAAAGCCTTACCTGTGCTACTCCTCGTGGCCTTACATGTTCCACTGTATTCCACAATCAATTAACTCTTGCATTAGGCGTCTGAAGTTCTGTAGGCCACATGACATTTTTATAAGTCATCCCTGTTTCTTCTTAAAGACTTTCCTAGAAATGCTGATATCATTCTAAAATAATAAAACTCTTAAGAAGAAATTACATTATCATCTGAGAGTCCAATAAAGAGATACAATGATTACAAGCCTTGGTGAACATTGTTCCAAAATACCTTCCATCTACTAAAGTAATAGTTCGCACTTTTCTTTTGCCTACATACATATTTAAATTAGACCATTTATTTAAATTATCATTATGTCCATAGATACTCAAAATTTTTCTATTGAAGAAAGTTCTAACATACCCCAAATACAACTGTATTCGGGTATAGATATAATTTCTCTTTTCCTTATTATTGTACAGATACTCTTATTTTGTTCTAACAGTGTGTGGTCATTTTCTTCTATTGAAGACAATTGTCTGTTGCTAGTTCAGAGAATATTTTTCTGAAGGAATTGAATTCAAAATAAAATCATTTATTTCTTATTTCTAGCTGAAAGTCTAAAATACAAACTTCCTTTTATTACTTAAAAATCCATCTCTCCAAAGGAGCCAAACACCCTCACTGGAGGACAGATAGCCTCTTTAATAAATGGTGCTGGGAAAACTGGATTTCAACTTGCCAAAGATTAGAACTAGACCCAGATTTCTCACCATGCATTAAACTAAAATCGAAATGGATC